CCTCCTAAAGTTGCTCACCCTGCCTTATAGTATTGACAATTGGAAGATCCACAGAGATAGTACGTGCTTATGTCTAGAATCCTATTCCTAAGCCTCAAAGAAAGTAGAAAGTACTACATAAATCTGAAATCTCCAACTCAGTGAGTCTGTTTGCTGTTCAGTAATTCTGTAAGGGCTCGTGGTACATGGCTGAGCTCACTTATGCAAGATATCTGTAAGTCTTGACACTGCAAGCAAGACCTACAAAGCTGGACTTGCCAATCCATGGAAGGTTCAAGCTGTTTGCCTGGAAGTGGCACTCAATGCGCTTTCTTTACTGCATGTTCTGATTATTAAAAGCTTTCACTCTGTCCTGAAGGACAGAGAAACTTCATCTATTATATGTGGGTAGAAGAAGCTTCTGACCTTCAAACAGGGCACTGTGGGAAGGAGGGAAGGAAGGAGAGAGAGAAAGAAATGCTGTCCACTTGCTGTCCTGAAATATACATTTTAAGGGTGCTGCTCTTTCACACTACTACATTACGAACACATTAATGCCACGACCTTTAAGGAACAGGATACCATTTCTGGGGCTTCTATAATTGTTTGAAGGCAGCTTTGTGCTTTACAGGAACATAAAAAGGTTAGGCACGCTCTTTCCAAACCTCTCTCCAGCAACAGTGAGATTATTGTCATTAACCTATTGGGGCAGTAGGGGTAGGGAGGAAGATGCACTTTATTTTCTTCTTTACAAAAGATCTCTCTCTTTTCTTCCTTCCTTTTTATTTTTTGGCTTTATTTTTGCTTTGAGTGACCATAAAAATAACTCGCTGCTGCCCTGCGGACAGAGCAGCAGGGCAGGAAGTCACAAAGGGACACCCACTCTCCCCCCACCCCTATTTGAAGTCATGTTTCTTGACACTTCTGCAGAAGGGACAATGTCCAATTACAGTCTCCAGCTCCAGCAGAAGTGACCTTTCATGGGCAGAAATCGACACATCTTTTAAACTGGCGGCTCCCTCATTTCCACGCTGCTGTCACTGATCTCCAGGGAGCAGAGGATGCTTCCCCGACAGGCAGCAAACAACGTTTTTCATTCTCAATAAGGATAGCCACTTTCTTGCTTTTAATAGCTGCACCACAAAGAGATATGCTGCAGGTACATCCTTTCCAAGTCTCTTCACCTCCATTCACTGAGAAAGCTATCTGTTGTGGAGCTATAAAAGAAGGGCACTTTATCTGAGGGCGGTGGGGGACAAAAGAGACAGGAACCCTTCCCCAAAAAGATGCTGAGGAATTTCAAGAGGGGCATAATGATTTGACATCTGGAAGAGAAAAGTACTTCTGTTAAGAAATACAATGCTTGGTTCCTTTAGCTCACTTAAGAATTGGCCTATGCTAGAACTGAGAGCAGAAACTGGATCTTCCATGGTCAAGCTGGCCCCAGTCTGAACAGAAAAGAAGCTTTCTGCTCGGCTTACAGGACAGCTTAAAATTATTAAGGTTTTTTTTTCCTGGAATCTAAACTAAGATTCATTTACAGATGCATTCATCTTCTCCTGGTGTTTGGCTGATGGCATACTGCACTTAGTTTTCTCCGCTTTGGATTGTCTTGTCCCAGGTATTGTCCTCCCTTGTAGGCTTAACTCTGAAAAAGATACTCTAAAAAGTAGATCCAGATTGTCTTTGACAATGCTATTCTTGAGAACATTTCAAACCTTATAGATTCACTACTATGCATAGGATACTTAATGACTACCCCTGTATAGTCCATTTCTCCTGGTGTATTAAGGAAAACTGGAAGAAATTATGATTTTCAAGCATCTGGGATGAGAGAGATATGTAAGGAAGATGGCTTTTCCAAAAGGGCAGCAAGTCATACAGGAACACCCACTCTCCCCACCATCCCTATTTGATGTCACGTTTCTTGGTGGTTCTGCAGAAGGCACCATGTCCAATTGCATGGCCTCTCTAAAAGGACTCTCCAATGTATAACTGATCTACACTCACTTCTTTTAGTAGCTGTTCAGAAGTACTCACTGCAGAGCAGTAACTTGGACACAGACTCCTAGCAACACCTTGCCAGCCCCTAGCAAAACAGGTTGCTATCACAAATATTAGGGGAAGCGCCCACTGCTAAAAGCAAAGACTATATAATCACAGTTGGCACAGCCTGTCATCCAGTTTAGAAAGTGAATATGGCCTGGATATGAAGAACTGATTACTTAACTCTTCAATGGCTGATTATCGAAGCTACAAAATTCTTGATGCAAATGTTTAACTGGAAGTGTCCTATTACATTGGCATAAGGAAATTTTGTTCCCTCAAATCCTTGTGAGCCCATTCAGACTTTATGTAACTCATGTCTAACAGATGTTTGACTAGAATTTATGCAAGCACATAATATGTGAGGGGGAGTAAACATCATCATACAAGTAGTAAACATGCCACCACTCAGCTAAGACATTTAACCAACCAGTTTTAAAAATTAGCTGATCTCTTGATTTTTAAATTATCTTTGCTGCTGAAAACAGTGTCATCTCTTCATTTGTTTTGCTTCTTGTTCTGAAGGAGTGTGTGTGTTTGGCTCTTAAAACCCAATCATGCCAACAGCAGAGCAGTGTGTGAAAGACATAGAGGGACCCTGAATATTATTCCAATAGAAAACTGGTCTATAAATCTAAATAAATACCAAACAAACACACATGCAGTAGAGACCAACGGCCGATTATAGGTCCCCAGAAAACACCCTCAACATCACTGGGGATGTGAAGCACTCCTCTCTCTGATGTTCACCAGATCAAATATTGACCAAACACTAGAGTGCACAGACTGAAACAGCCCTCAGTAGTTGCTGGATATTTTCTGAGTCAATTGGCTCATTCTGGAATTCTATGCTTACCAGAGAACAGCTCCAGAAAGTTGGGCATGACTATGTTAAAGGTACCTGTTAACCTTGAAATCCATGGCGATGATAATCTGAGGTCAATCTCAACAACTTCAAATTCAGAAATGCCTAAAATATGGCAGCCTATTATATATTGTTATGCTGCTGCTTCTAGAAGATTAGTTTAAACGTACCTTACAGAAGACTCCCAGGATGCAACTGTCACACAGTATTGTTAAAGCAGATAAAGATGGCTTTGTGTCAAGCAAAAGACATTTTTTTCTTTCATTAATTTTAAAATGAACCTCCTGTGAATATCTCTTACTTGATGAAGTTCTTAAAAGATGTTTTGTGTATGCATGTTTTACAGCTCTCTTGAAAATCTATTCAGCATTTACCAGACTGTGTTAATAATTAAGATGAATTACCTCTCCCACACTGCTGTTGGCTTGATTGGCTTTTAAGAGCCAAACATATAATTCATGTTAAAGATCAGATCCATGTTATGGATTTGTCAGTCTTGAAGACAGTGAAATAACACTATATATAGCAAACATAAATTAGCTCACCAAACTGAAGGTTTAGTGGCAGACAGGCTGGGAACTCCAATAACTACCCAATAACTGCAAAGCAACAGGGAAAAGCAAGAAGAAGTGAAGGGGGCCCTTAAAACTAAAATGTTAAGGAAAGCAGGGAATAAATAATCCTGCATCATATCCCAACGACAAGAATGCAGAGAAGATGTCAGTCAATGGAGTATCTTCAGAAAGCATGAAAGCTGGATAAATAATCTCCTGTTGATCTAATGTAGCAATACTATTTCATCCAGGCCCTTAAAAGTTAAAACTCAGCTGGCTAGTCTCTCCTTAGGTTTTCCATCAAAGAGAGATGAAGATGGGAAGGAAAGCATCAGTGTTATCTAGATCAAGCATATGTCAATTTAAACCAGTCATGTTCCCTACATCATTTTGCATGTGCTTGCATGGAAATAGACCCAGAAGAAGGAGGTTTACTTCCATCCCCTACCAATCTTTCAACCCTCACCGGCCAGAGAAAATCTAATCTCAAAGGGTTCAGTGTACAAACGAAAGCTTTACCAAAGAAGGGAAACAGACAGGACCCCACATTCTTCTTAAGCAATACATGCTCTGTCTCACTTCCTGTGTAACTATAACACTCACAAAGCATTTCAGCACAACTGCTTTCTCACTAAGCTAAAGCTACTCTTTCTCTCTTGAATCCAAGGTTGTATTATGCTTTAGTGTCTGCTAATCAGAATGCACACCCCGCATTGCCTCCCAAGTAGGACTTCACATTGGCTCTCAAGCCATCTCTGGGTGGAAAACCTTACTGTAAGAAATACCCAACCTGAAAATATAAAGTTATAAAGAAAAAGATGCACAGACACTTCTTCAAAGAAGAGCTGTACATGCCCATCTTGTCAACAGTGCAATTTCTTGTATGCATCCATATAAACTCAAGTCATTTATTCCTAGATAATTCCTCACAAAGAGCACTAAAACATTGTGTTTATGGGATGGTGACATGTGATATATGTAATCTTTATACTTTTATTTGAAATCCTTTAGCATTCACAATGAATGATACGCACACAGACCACCATCCTCACCACCACCACCCAATTTAAAAGCTCACTTTAAATAAATTACAGCACATTTCATCATTTATGTGTTGATCACTGGCTTAAGAACGGTGAAGTTCTTAATGACTGCCACAAGCCCCAAAACATACTGAATGTCAAATAAGTGGAACCCCATGCTAGATTTAATCCTCTGTTTGGTTCTTTGCTGGGATGTGGTAAGTATGCAAGCACCAATCTGAAAGGTGCTTCTCGTATAGCACGGATGCCACTGAGGCAGACAACAAAAGCCGTATTGATTTCAAAGGATTATGAGTTCAGATGAAAGTATTCAAAAGGTATCACCATGAAAAGAATAAGGTTTTGTAAAGTGGAAAGCCATATCCTTCAAGTTGTAGAATCCTTACAATGTCAACAATACAACAGCAATAAAAGGAACACAAGGTCAACAATATGCTGGTTGAAAAAAACATGCTGGTTACCTCTTGAAGGCCAGCAACCTCAGGATGCTCTTAATGACTTACTGGTACTTACCAGGAATATTGTGTATTGTTATTGCGATGATGAGCAGCAGGATCCGCCTCCAGCTGTTGCTTGCTGGCACTGGAGTGCTGCCTTTGAGAATCTGGGGTGAAGCAGGAACATCTGGCTGGCTACTTCCAGCACCTTTTCTCCTCTGATAGGGTTCCCCATTTTCACCTTTGTCTGGACAACAAAAAGAATAGGAGCAAGATGAAAATGTTTTAAGCCTATTGTTCATACTTAGGAAGGAAAGCATAGTTAGAGCAGGTTGGGTAACTGGCACAAGCAGAAGACTTCAGGAAGCATTACAGATTTTGACTGTAAGAGTAACCAAATAATCCTTGGGGCTCACAGCCTGCATAATTAAGCAAAAGTGCAATTGACTCAAACCACAAAAGAAGCAAGGCAAGATTTCCACCACCACTGCAAAGGCTAAAGAACTGAGACTTGCTTGAAGAATCCATGGCATAATATGTAACTGAATCACATCTCTTGCTGAAGAATAAATCAGTCACTGTAATTCTCAATGCAGAATCAGTGCTGTGCATTTAATGAACTGGTAGCAGGGAGAGGTTGGGCAAGTGCAGCTTCTCTGCTGCAGGGTCTGCTGATCCCATTTCTCCCACCTGTTCTAAGTGTCACCAACTTGAACCTTTATGAAATGAAGTCAGAGGGCAAAGAATTTGGGCAGCTCAGCTGCCAACGTGCTGCCCAACCCTGAAAGTCTCCTCGCTGTGTCGGTCTTGCGTTAATGGCAACTCCAGGGACTGGGAGTCTTCCAATATGTTCTCATAAAGTTACAACAGGATAATGGGACTATGATTATGGATTATCCAGTGGAAGGTGAAGGTATAAATTAGATATTGGGTGAATTAGAAATGTAATAAAATAAAAATAAATAATAAATATATGGTACATAACTCAGTTCCCAAGCAGATAAACTATAATTCACAGAAGCAGTATACTTATGTGGGCAGGCGGAGTATTAATTAATTCTTATCGAACTTAACTGTGGGAAGGCTTTCACAATCTGTGAGCCAGCAAGAGGGATGCAGCACGCCAGCCATACATGGTACCCCACCGGGGCACAATGAATCCCCTACTTTGCAGTCTGGCTAGGAAGGCAGCATAATTGTGCAATCCATAGTACAAGAGCGTGCAGGACCGAATCTTAAGTCCGCACGGTCTGAAGAATGAATGTCTTGGAAGCCTTCAGTGCATAACCTGTGACTTACCGAGCTGAACACATCTCACTAGCCATGCACTGTGGCTGCATTTTAGAGTTTTATACAGGCAGAAAAACTATGTGATTTATCAAGTTCCCGTGGGTAGTTCTGGCTGGTAGGTTGTGCCTGACTTCCTGGGTCCACACATCATGCCAGTCTGATTCAGGGCAGGAATGTCTTGCTTTCACCTGGTTTAGCAGAGGTCAGAGGTGAAATGAACATATAGTCCACCTTTGCATGCATTCACACTCAGTCCATCTATGCTATAACAAGGGATTGGGTGATAATTGAACATGCTTTTGGACAGCTTGCTAGGTCTCTTTCTATCCTACGCTTTCATCTCTGACAGAACATTTGTTGAAAAGGTCCTTCTGATTTAGAAGCCCGCAGATTCAAACCAAATGTAAAGTAGGACAATGAAAATGGCACAACACACAACATTCTGAATTGCGACACAGAAATCCTTTCCATTTACCCAGTAAACGTTAGAAAAGGCCGAGAAATAAAATTAGAGGTAGGAGTTCCTGAACTTTACATAGGCAACAGCTGCACTCAGGCCGCAAAGAAGATTTGACATTTTAGATGCATTTTAAATGGCGCTTCCCAACCAAGCTTAATTTTCCTAGTAGACTAGCAAGTGCCAGAAGTCATTTGAAGGAGTTTCTGAATTAATGTCAATTGCTTCCCATGCCATTTCTAAGCAAGTTGATGCTAAACTGCCATGTTGCACTTAACTTGGTGGCCATTAAGAATCTGTAGCATATTAAAAATGTTCCTGCAAATGCACGTATAAAGCCAATAAGGAAATACTATTTCTAATGTGTGTCTTGCCATTCAGACTAATAGCTTTGAGACGGAGAGCGAGAGAGAGAGAAGTGGGGACAGTGTAAAAGCATTCAACAGTGCACGAACAAAATCTGGCACAATGAAACTTTCAGTAATAGTTATACAAACAGAACTTTCAACAACCAAGGAGGAGTGGCAAATATAAAAAGGCAATTAAGCCTTTCAAGCCACCCAGAGAGCTTCAGCTGTTGGGTGGTACAGAAGTTAAATAATAAGGAAGCACATTGTCCGATGCCTGTCCAGACACCAGACAACAATGCTTCTTGAAAAATGTTAAAGGCATACTGTTCAGTTTGATGAAAATACTTTGCATTTTCTGAAGAAGCAGAATCTAGGCCATCCAAGTAATGTAATAGTAAAATTTGACCCAAGTATATGGAACACCATCCAGCAAACTAAGTTGTGGCTTATTTTTCAGTCCTGTGCTCAGCTGCATGGGAACTGGCCAAAGTAACACTGAACGTCCAGGTAAACCTGTTCAGGATTGTGCTGCGCATCCCCCAAAAAGCAATGGAATAAAGTTTACAACTAATAATTTGCTGAATTGTGCCTTAAGATAGAGTTGGAGCCCAGCTCTTGCATGTTACAGTTTGTTCAGATAAATTTATCCTACTCTGAGTAGGAGGCAGAGAAGGAGAGAGGCAGATGCCTTGGTGGTTTCAAGGTTACCAGTGAAGATTCTCAGGCAGAACAAGAGAACCAGCCAGCCTTGGGAAAGGAGGGAGACATTTCAGAACTGGGTGGCGAGGAGATGGGGGTGAGTGACTGGACCCGGTAAGGCCGGGGTCCTCAAACCTTTTCACCAGGGGGCCAACTGAAAGGTGCTGGTGCTGGGCGCAGGCCGGAAAGGTGGTGCTGGCAGTGTGTGTGGGCCAGGGCGGAGGTGGCACATGCGGGCACACATGCTGAGGCAGGGGTGGGGAGCGCTGGGAGGGGAGGGGAGGCAAAGCGCAGGCGGGCATGCACTGCGAGGTGGGCGCGCAAGGCAGCGGCTTGCTTGCTTGGAGATCGTCTTCTCTGAGTGAGCAAACCACTGCCTCCCCGCGTGCGGGGCAAGGTGGGCGGTGGCAGGTCCAAATGGGCATGGTGGGCCGGATCTGGCCCCCGGGCCATAGTTTGAGGACCCATGCTGTAAGGAGACAACAGGCAAGGCCAGCAATGTCCAATGTCCCTGTCGTCTTGCCCTCATGCAACAGGGGCCACCCTGAGTCAGAATCTTTTCAGAAAGGGAGGGAAGGAGGGGAAGTTCCAATTTTGATCCAGCTCCTCACATGGGAAGATGCTTCTCCCACATCACAGATATTGTGTGAACCTCCTAGGGAGGCCATTTTGGCAGTTATAGGCGGCATATAAATACGTGAATGAATGAATGAATGAATGAATGAATAGTATGTTACTTTTATTGAATAGTATGGATAGTATGTTACTTTTATTTATGTTCTTTTGCAGCCTGTTAAGTTCTAATAAAAGGACTGTACTTTTAAAGTCTCTCATCCACCAGAAGTAAATAATATGTTTATTTCTCACTCAAAAGACCATTGCAAATAAAATAAAAAATACAACAGTATGAGATATTTTAAAGAACTATAATTAAAACATGGTGGGTAGCCAACAGTAACATGACATAAAGTATGTCAGACCTTTAGCACCAAATCTTCACATCCCTTACCTTCATATCTCTAAATCTTTATAATACTTTACTCCAATAGAATCAAAAAATGTTGCTCTGTATTTTGTGGCTTTAACAGCAAATATAGCAAAACCTTCTGAATCATATATAGAATCATTGACTCATAGAACAGTAGAGTTGGAAGGAACCAGAGGGCCCTTGGGTCCAACCCCCTGCTCAGTGCAGGACTCCAAGTGCAACCATCCCTCTCTGATGGCTGTCCAGTTGCATCTTGAATGCCTCTAGTGCGAAAGAGCCCACAGCCTCACTAAGCAATTGGTTCCACTGTTGCACTGCTCTAAGTCAGGGCAAAAAATTCCTTATATCTAGCTGAAATCTGGATTGTTGTAACTTCAACCCATTGTTCCATATCTCGCACTCTGGGATGATTGAGAAGAGATCCTGTCCTTCCCCTTTGTGACAACCTTTCAAGTACTAGAACAGTGTTATCATATCTCCCCTCATTCTTCTCTTCTCAAGGATAAACATGCCCAGTTCTCCAAATCTCTTCTGCAAATTAGAAATAGCCAAATTTCAGCAACTCTTGCTCTTGCTTGTTCTAGAAATTTTAAAAATGCATCAGTATTGCTCGGGGTTCCTCATTATATATATCTCTCTATCCAGTGTCTACCCTTCTTTTTGGAGTATTTGTCCATCATCAACAACCCATGAGTGAACGGTGAGCAGGACAGGAAATAAAGCACCCCAGTCCTGATGCAGAGCTAACCCCATCATTTCTAGAAGTGTGTAACTGCCAGAAAGACAGGAAACCAAACCAAACCAAGAAGAGGTACAATGATGAGGGTCATCCATGCCTAATTCTACTGATTAACCAGACACCCTGGAGAGAGCCTCATACTATTGGTTTTTAAATTTCACTACTGAAATAACTTCAGCATGTAATCTCCTGCTGCAGATTTACCATTTAATCAAGGAGGGATGGTTTCCCCTTTGGGGTAGGAGCAGCTGCACTTTTTTGCATCTGGACAGAACTCCTCCTTCCAATATCTAGTCCAAAGCTCCAGCACTAAGCTATATAACAGAATAGTTTGTATGATGGCACAAAAACTAAGGAGCTATTTATGTTGTCCATTAGAAGTATAGGTGTGTTTTTATTTAAGTTGATTATATGAAAGCAAACAATTGGATGCTTACCGAAGGAGTCAGCTAGAAGAATGAATTGAGCAGCTGGGAGCTTGCCTACCTTCACAATATTCCTTGGCTGCTATGATGAATGGGGAAGAGTGCAACAGAATAAAATAGATGGTTTCCAGGTTAAAGAGAAGGGGAAGGGGAGTCGGAACTGGATGCAACATTTTCTCTGTGTGTCACAAACCTAATCTACCCCCTCTAAGACTGTTTAATTAATAAATATATGGGTTTGATGAGTACATTAAATAACTCAATTTCTCCTTCGCATCTCAGTATTTCAGTTTCTTTGA